ACTGAAGACAATGGTATATGGTGGCGCAACTTCGTGGATTGGTTGAAGTTAGACATTAACACCGTTGGATGCCGGCCGGCTCAGTGGTCTAATGGTTAGGTGCTCGCGCGCGAAACCAGTAGGTCCTGGGTCCGAATCCCGTGGATCGTGGATGCGCACTGCTGGGGAGTCCCATACTAGGACGAAACGGCTGTCCAGTGCCTCCAGGTTTTCAATGGTGGTCTAGCTTCAATTGACTCATGATTTCAATCTGTGTTATCATATTTATTGATGATCAATAAAAGTAGTAAATAATCATTTCTGAAATGTTTTGTTATCTAATAAACCACAAATTGAAAGGAAAGATGACTATAGAGATTGATAAGCTGTTTCTTCTTGATATGATAATATTCAATGTTCCATTGAAGAATTTATAAAGAATGGAAAGTAAAATAATTTTTGATCAGGAACTTATCTTGAAGTTTTAGTGAAGATACTGTTGTTGGCTTTTTTTATTCATCAGTATTACACAAGTTAAATCAAATGAGAAATATGTTTGTAACTAATCAGATTGTACCATGAATTGATTGAATTGAAGAACGTGGATTAATATGCTTTGATTCATTCATTCGGATTTATTATGCTTATTGTAACATTTGAAACGAGTGAAGGATATGATTTGTAGATTTAAAGGTGAACACTGTTGATTAGCCATAAATTAGAACAAGAAAGCTGTTCAATTTCGTATAGTTTTTGATAGATCTTTAAATGATGTCAATTTATGGTAAAAACCATATTGAATTGTGTTATTCATTTTTATTTCATCAAAGTATTATAACCCCATATAATTATTTATCAGTCTAACTGTTACATATTAACTTACATAGGTCCTAAATATAAGAACTATACACTAAATACTTCATTTGCAAATTTCCATCATTTCTGCTACCAGATTTTTCATTTCCGATCGGTGTTACATACTACTTATATCTGTCCACATAAGTAGCATACACCAAAACCGTAATCAATATTCAAGTGATTTTTCCACTTAAATTAGATTAAATACTTCAATAAATTTAAGTAGCTTATAAACTAATATCAGAATAACTGAAGTAAAAAGAGATTAACAATACTTAAGTATTTCAACAAGTTGTTTCCTATCCCATCTTTATGCTTAACCGATTTTATTATTTTCTTCATTTTTCTTCGACTATATATTTATTCATTTTCGTTATTTTATTAAAAATATTTTCACAGTTGAATTCATGAATTGATCGAACCTAGTTGAAACCACGGAATCACTGGATTAGTTGAAGTTAGACATTAACACCATTGGATGCCAAATCAGTTATCTAGAGGTTAGGCATTCGCGCGCGAGAATGAAGGCCCTGGGTTCGAATCCCGAAAGCTTGATTATAGATGCTCACTGCTGAAGAGTCCTATACTAGAACAAAACTGCAGTCAAGTGTTTCCAGGTTTTCAACGATGATCTAGCTTAGATTGACTCGCAAATTTAATTATGGAAATACTTTTTTGCAAATTTCAAATCCTTTCAACTATCAATAATTATGATAATGAATTGTACAAACAACGATAAACTCATCTATAACAATATGAATAAGGAAAGAAGTTTATCCAAAGAAATTATGTTGCCTTTTTTCTGAAAATTTTTTTTTATTTGTTCATTATATAAACTAAGTAAAGAGAAATCAATAGGTGATAGGGAAATTGTTCCCTTTTTTTTCTTCTTTCTAATAACTAATAAATTGTTACTTGTTCAAAGAAGCATTCATCTACATCAAAACTCTATACCTTTATTATTATTATTATCATTATTATTCTTTACTTTAACCAATTTGTAAGTACTTATCTACCTATTCCTTTTACTTTATATATAAAATCTAATTATCTTATAATAAATTAATGAATCTAAAAAGAACTATAATGTCAATGAAAATTTGCTTAAAGCATAAAATGATCTATTGGATGACTAATTGGAAAATATAATATAGGAATAACTGGTATATTCTTATATATGATAAGTCTGTATATACTTCGAGTCCGTTGGCCGGACACTATTAGCAACAACCTACTATGGGAGAGAACAAACCAGATCCCAGAGGAGGAAGAAATCAGGAAGAAGCGCTGGAAGTGGATAGGACACACATTGAGGAAAGCACCCAACTGCGTCACAAGACAAGCCCTCACATGGAATCCCCAAGGCCAAAGGAAAAGAGGAAGACCAAAGAACACATTACGCCGGTAAATGGAGATAAACATGGGAAAGATGAAGAAGAATTGGATGGAACTAGAAAAGAAGGCCCAGGACAGAGTGGGTTGGAGAATGGTGGTCGGCGGCCTATGCTCCATTAGGAGTAACAGGCGTAAGTAAGTAAGTAATATATACTTTAAACCAATCAGAAAATAGATTATAAAAATGATATAATGAAGAAATCTAAAAACAAAATTAGTATAGATACTTTGACTTATAACCTTCTCAAGATTTATCATAAGTTAGTTTGTTTTATAAAAGAACTTAGTTATATTGTAGTGTCGGTTACTATGTTATGCCCATATAACTTATTCTAGTTTTTGGACAGGCCAATTTATCAATTCTTCTTGAGTCATGTTTTGACTTTGCTAATTATTCACTTATCAACCTTGAATGTTCTTATATGAGTGTATGTTTGTACACTTGTTATCCTATTCATCACATGTATGTAGCTTATTTTTGTGTAACTATAAATATTGATTACCGCTTGATTAAATCGAGCTGGCTTACATACCTTTTCCATTGTACGTCATTTCACTTCGTTCTTCTGATTGTTTGTCTAGATTAATGGGTACAAAATATAAGTATTCAAAACTTTATTCTCGTATTTGACTTATTTAATTTCATTATACGCTAACGCGATTTAAGTCGATAATTATATACATGGATTAGAGACTTGTATACCTTTATAGCAATCAGAAACGATATAAGTGAAGTCAGATCTCGGGTCACTAAAGTATAAGTTTATGTCTTTTTAAATTGTGAGAATAATTATGCTTTTAATCATATCCATATATGGAAAGAAATACGTACTCTTTCCAATCATCTTTATACTCTTTTGTTCTCATTCAAACATATATCTTAACAAGATGAAAAACATTCTATTGAGAACTTTTATAAAATTATTTCCTTGAAAGTTCTTGTTTTATACACCGAAATCCTACTATAGTTAGCTTAATAAACCAGTTACCCTTTCGATATTCTATATTTCTTTCTCAATTACATTTACACTCTTTGAATGTATTTTGGTGTTTACAATCGTATAACATTTCCCTAAACAATCCAAGATCTTCTTATTATATATTCAGATGTTCTCATTGAAATTAGTAAAAATTGAGTCAGCATCATTTTTTGAAATCTTTGATTTGAGCCTGACTGATTAGTACCTGTACTCTAGATTAACCAAGAATTTAAGTTTTTATTTTAAATCTAAAACTTGTGGAATAATTTTTGTGGTAATTACAAGGAAACAAAATAGGATTCAATGAAGAGGTATTAAGTGAGCTAGTGTATTTGAATAATTCGGTGTAGATTTACGATTTTTATGTTTCTGTACGCACTAAGGTATACTGGCTGTAGTTACTTTTCGTTTTTCAAAGAAATGAATGCGAAAATTAAGAATAATAGAGCTTGATTCCATATCATTTATCTTTTGGGGTTGGTTTAGTAATCCTAAATATGACCTTAGTATTATTTAGAGGGTACTTCTAAGTCATATGATATTCATTTTCGTACATCCGGGATTTGTCACAAACCGGAAAACTATGTTGCGGATAGAAATCTCTAGTTAGGCTTTTGAGTTGTTGTTTATAGATCTTACCATTTACGAATAGGTTTATAAAAAAGTATGATAATTAAATATGTACCCTGAGGACCATTATGGTAACAGTTGAGATTATTTACATATGTTGTGGAAATGAGACGATTTCTATGTCTTAAAAGTATCATATTCAAAATATCAATATCAGTTCAACTTTTATTATATACATAACCCTATTTAATCTGAGACAAGATATTAAACTTCTTATCATAAAAGGATTCAATATACTTATAAGAAAAAGAATTTCATGAGATAGTAATGTCACTGTAATGTCACTGGAAATCACCTTGAAACCAACAATGTTTTTAATCATTGAGAAATCTTTAAAAATAGACAACATAAAATAATTTATTGATGTCTTGAATTTTGCATTATAATTAAATGAAACTCATTAGACATTAACATTTCTATCAGAAGGGCTTTTGTGGAGATTTTAGTGATTTAAACAGTTGAGATCATGAGTCAATTGAAGCTAGACCACCATGAAAAACCTGGAAGCACTGAACGACCGTTTCATCCTATTGTGGGACTCCTCAGCAGTGCGTATTCATGACTGGCTTCAAGATGTATATCCTGGAGTTCTAGTGAGAAGCAATAACCAGTGGGGTTCAACTGGGTCAAGTTGTGAGATAGTAACTCACTGATGACAATGGTGGATGTGTCGCTCAATTTCGTGGATTAGTTGAAGTTAGACATTAGCACCATTGGTCGCTGGCTTATTGGTCTAGTGGTTAAGCGCTCGGGAGCGAGATCAGTAGGTCCTGGGTTCGAAACCCGGTAGGCGAGGGCGTGGATGCGCACTACTGAGGAGTCCCACAGTAAGATGAGACGGCCGTCCAGTGCTTCCAGGTTTCCCATGGCAGTCTAGCTTCAATTGACTCATGATCTTAAATATTGAAATTAACATTTCTGTTTTTCTTGTTGGCTTGGACTGAACATCAACTCTAGGATGCAGGTACATTCAGCAGATGAGTCCCAAATAAAATGAAATACCCGTCCTGGACTTCACTAATAGCTACCATCTATCTTTGCCAAATAGATGCTTTTTGTTCTTTTTCTTTTATTTGATTGCTTGAGATTATTTTATTTCAGTATATGCTAGATTGTTTAAAAATATATTTTGATTCTTTACATTTTAACTATTATTAGATTTAATCGAAATAAAATAACCATTTCATGGTACAACTTTTTTATTATGAAAATCGTGGAATACCTTGTAGTCATTTATTACGTAATGGTATGAAAAAAATTATAGTTCAATTGGAAGCATGTGAAAATTGGCCGTATCCAAGTTCTGAATCAAAATGGTTATTAATATTTAATCGATTTCTAAGAAATTGGTGTAAAGTCATTCAAGTAAATTAGAATTATTTTTATATGAATATTCAATATCAAAAGCACAAGTGTTTATCTGTTCATATTTGATTGGTGAATTATTTTTATTTTTAGTATGTGAATCAATTTTAGTAATAGAGTTCAAATGTGTCAGGTATAGTGCCGTTGTTTTCAAATTGTTTGGAAGATACGTAATGTTATGAATTCATTGAAGTTAGACATGTACACCACTGAATGCTAATTCAACAGTTTAGAAGCTAATAATATTCTGTGAGGCAAAAGTTACTGAGTTCGATCCTCGATAGGGTCATGAGTGTACACTTCTGAGGAGTCTCGTACTAAGTAGAAATAGCTATCCAGTGGGTCCTAATTCACAATGGATGTTTGACTCAGATCACTTTGAGATATAAGTAACATGCAAAATAAATAATTCCATACAAAATACAGGACATAGGCCAAAAAACTGACGAAACAGTGTAAAACATTAGTCAACGTACAATATCATGGAAGAATCCGGGTGATAAAAGGGTAGTAATGAGATATAGGACGACTTTTCAATATTGTTCAAACTTTCTGGAAGTTTCTAGAAACTATAATACGAAGTAAGGATTTAGGAATCGTACAGATAAAATTTCTGACTGTTTCACGATAATTTTAGGATATTAGAATTCATATGATTTACTGAATAAATGATAGCATATTATTAGTTCACTTTGAATAAGCTTAACATGGACAAACTTATAATACATTAAGCTTTAAATAAAATTCACACTAGAAGGAACAAACACTTTCTATAAGTTGAATCCCATGCTTTGTCACATTGATTGCACAAAGATATTTATTAATAAGCTCTTATCGTCTTCATCACTACTCATTAGTTCGTCATTAGAGTAATCTAACAAAAATATTTACTCATCACTTAGTGAATCTGATCACGGAAATAGACCTTTAGTCAGAATTCACAAACAGACTTCATAATATAGATATAAATCACATATCATGATTTATTGAAGGTCATAAATATTGTGTACATAATCATGCCCCGGTACGGTTGAGGGTGGGGAGAGTCAGCTCTCCCTCTCGAAATGCTCTCACATGGCCACGCGTATACAGCCACTACCAGGGAATTCCTACTCACTGCCTCCTTGCGATGGGACTGTTGTTTACGAAATTGAGAGGACGAAAAGTGGATTTCCGGCGCTTTAACCGGTCTGGCGGATACGGAATATCTATCTTGGAGAGTTGGAAAACCATGATTCCAAACCAATCGTGCACATGGGCTCCAGGACTCTGAAGGAACAAATGGTGTATGAACCAATTATTGGTCGCTGGCTACCATGGGACTGCATCTCTCGACGTCGCTCCACTGCCTTGTGGATCAGACCTTTATGTCAGGTGTGGCCCTCTAAGAAAACCACTTGTTCCGGTTTGGGCACGCTGGCAATATCACAACCCACTTACAAATAAAGTGAATTGTGTGGCGCATATGTATTCAGTGCCCCTTTGTACCAATATTTGTGTTGAAATAAATGAATACTAAAAAGTAAACAACATCTGATGATATCAGTAAAGGTCAGAGTAAATAATGACTTTTATTTCTTTCGAAAACGTTGTTAATTCTAATATGACCATTTTTATAAAACAAAATTTTTAGTTCTATTAACTCGAGGATACCAATTTACAACATTAATTGAACAATAAGCTGTATTCGATTACATCTTGTACTCATAAATGTAACCGATTATTATTCTTTATTTTTCTGATATAACATCAGTAGCCGTTGTTGAGATTAGTCAACAAATCGATTGGAATCAGTTTTGGGTGTAAACAATTAAAAGTGAAAACTCTAATATATTCTTCTTTGATTAGCAAATAGAGTCCATTATCTTTAATAACACTAAGTTATTCAAATCACCTAGTGTGCTGGTGTATAACCGTCTAGAAATCAGAAGTGATTAGATACTTATAACTTAAATAATTAATAAATTATTCTTTATTATTTTATCTTTATGCTGTAGATGACTAGTGGAGGAACAAAAAGATATGAAACTATTGGACATGTTACATTTACTAAATTAGAAGGTTCAATGTTTATCACTGGGAAATTTAAACAAGATTCAGCTGGTAAACAACAAAAGATGCCACATTTTTGTTTATTTTTAACTACAAATATAATAGATGCTGATTTTTATCGTGGTTATTTATTAACTGGAATGGTGGAAAGAGGTAATCGAAAATTGGGCATTTGGGAATCAACACATTATGCTTATGTTAAACGTGAAGGTTACTAAAGATCAATATATCTGATTGTTCATATTCTCACTGTAAATCTTTTGTTCTTTTTTTTTACCTAAATTCATTGTACATGAATTTATTTCACATCGTCTATTAGTGAAAATAATCGAAACTTACTAAATTTTTATGTATTTTACATAAGACTAGTCTAAAATCTATAGAGAGTACATTATAGATTATACTCTTGAAAGTATTCTAGTTTGAATAATATTATTATATAAAAGTATGAAAAATTGTTTTAGTTGTATATCTGGGCCTATTTTCTTTTGGATTAATGAACTTAAACAATATGATGTTCTAAATCCGGGTTTTATAGCATCTAATATAATTATAATATACACATATACAGGACCTTAGATAAGCTGAAATGTTTCAATTCCTCTTAGGGTTTTCATCATTACATGAGATTAGATATACTCATACGTTTATATGTTGAATATCGATTGTTCTGACCTAGGTTTTCATGTCTTCAGAAAACAATACAATGTCTTACAAATAGACAGAAATCATCAACCTTGAGCCTGATATAGATTTGAGTTAGCTCAGGTTGGTACAGAATAACTAGTATATGCCGAGATGAAAATGACAAAACGGATAGCAAATTGGCTGAAATAATATAGAAGTAATGGTAATAAAAAAAGGCTAAACACTGAGAATATAATTCCAAAAGATGGGTGGTAAGGTGTGTATAAAGGAATGCAGAAGTTCAAGATTTACAAGATGAATCTGATCCATTTTGACTTATTCTGAGCCATGTTACTCAACGATTACAATATTAACTTAATTCATCTAGTATTCAATGGATGATCATTTTCTTGTTTAGATAAATAAAAGAAATATTATATTTTAAATTAAGCATACCAAGAACACAAACATTAAAAGTTCTGTACCGAAATGGTATATTAAATAAAATTAAATATAAGCAAGATAGATGTAAAATCCCTTACATATCTGGGAAGTATCATTGATGAGCACGATGGATCTGATGCAGATTTGAAGGCAAGGATCGGCAAAGCAAGAGCAGCATCTCTACAATTGAAGAACATCTGGAACTAAAAACAACTGTCAGTCAACACCAAAGTCAGAATTTTCAATACAAATGTCAAGACAGTTCTACTGTATGGAGCGGAAACTTAGAGAACTACGAAAGCCATCATCCAGAAGATACAATTGTTTATTAACAATTGTCTGTGCAAAATACTTCGGATCCATTGGCCAGACACTGTCAGCAACAACCTACTATGGGAGAGAACAAACCAGATCCCAGTAGAGGAAGAAGTGCTGGGAGTGGATAGAACACACATTGAGAAAAGCACCCACCTGCGTCACAAGGCAAGCCCTCACTTGGAATCCTTAATGCCAAAGGAGAAGAAGAAAACCAGAGATCACATTACTCCAAGAAATGGAGACAGACATGAGAAGAATGAACAAACATTGAACAGAACTGGAAAGGAAGGCCCAGGACAGATTGTGTTGGAGAATGCTGGTGGGTGGCCTATGCTTCATTAGGAGTAACAGGCGTAAGTAAATAAATAAGTAAGTAGATATGTAACCGAACCAAGGTTGAAATAAACTTAATTAAATGGTGCATATTCTTTCTTATGAACTGGATATTTGTGCATTCAACACAAATGCATTAGATTCTTTTGTGGGCTGGTTTAAATAGATACTTCAATGGATATATATATATATATTCAGTATTTCATTTGAACAGAAACACAGTACAGAAATAATAAGACATTCAAGTTTTCTTTTACTACACTTAAATAACAGAGAAACTGAGAAATAATCTAAAAAAACATTCTGTAAGTTAGAATAGAGATGTATGAATACATGTATTTAATAAAGTTTTATAGATATGTATATGGTTATTATTTATAAAGTGTATGCTGTTAGTTATTAAAATACTGAATTAAGTAAAATCTCCAATTAAAGCAGGATGTTTTGAACCATCTGGTCGCCAACGTTCACGAATACGTCTGAGTTTATCTGGTTCTTCAAATTCAGGAAAACCAAAATTATCTAATATATCCATAAAGTATATTTGATGTGTAGCCTATAATAATAATAATAATAATAATAATAATAATAATGGCATTACCAATAACAAAATTACCAGAAAAATAAAAGAAAATACAAATATCTAATTAATTTAAAAATTAAATAGAAAAAAACTCTTCAGTTGTCAAGTCAATAGAAGAAATCTAAAAAGTTTATGTAATTAATTTCCCCTTTCACTTGATATTGTTTTACTTGAATCTTCCCATTGATGTTTTTGGACTGAAACTGATCAGTCTCTTATTGGCATATGTGCATACTGTGCGTATGCCTCGATGTTGCCTTAATTTACAAGCATTATAAGCAAAGATGGATAGTGGCTAGCAGTGGAATCCAGGACGCGCGTCTCGTCCTGTTTGGGACTCGTCAGCTGGATGTACCTGCATCTCAGAGTTGATGTTCACTCTGGGACTCGAACTCAGTACCGTTCGCTTCAAACGCCATCGCGTTATCCACTTAGCTACTGAGTCCTGATAGCCACTTGCTTGTGCAATGGGTTGAAGTTGAATTCACTTGATATTGTTTTACTTGAATCTTCCCATTGATGTTTTTGGACTGAAACTGATCATCAATGGGAAGATTCAAGTAAAACAATATCAAGTGAATTCAACTTCAACCCATTGCACAAGCAAGTGGCTATCAGGACTCAGTAGCTAAGTGGATAACGCGATGGCGTTTGAAGCGAACGGTACTGAGTTCGAGTCCCAGAGTGAACATCAACTCTGAGATGCAGGTACATCCAGCTGACGAGTCCCAAACAGGACGAAACGCGCGTCCTGGATTCCACTGCTAGCCACTATCCATCTTTGCTTATAATTTCCCCTTTGTTAAACTTAAATAAACCAGAGTTCAGTGATGAATATATCAGATTTCTTTGCTTTACTTCTGATAGATTCATAAACAGATAAAATATTTGATTGGTTTATAGTTTTAATAATTATGGCTATACATTAAAATTAAAGGATGATATACCTTTCAGTGTACAGAATATTATCTAGAAAGCGTAATATAACATTCTATCCTTTTTTTGTTGTTAATTAATTTACTTTTCAATTTGTTCATCTTCAATTACATTCACTTAAGTTTTATGAATTTCACTTCATGTATCTAACAGATACTACTACTACTACTACTACTACTACTACTACTACTACTACTACTACTACTACTACTACTACTACTACTACTACTACTACTACTACTACTACTACTACTACTACTACTACTACTACTACTACTACTTTTTATAATTGTTCAATAGTAATCAATTATCAGAAGATTTACCTCTGTAGTTTTATACTTCTTAGAGTTAATCTGATAAGTTAAATTTTTAAGCTCTTTAATAGAAAGCTTTCATTAAAAACAGTTTATCAAGTAAAACTATAAAGGTTTAGGTATTGCATCTAATCCTATTCGAGTATAACAACCAAATGTTTTAATGCATTGAGTTGAATAACAATCAACCTTTCAGAAATTAACGACGTTTACATTTCAATGAAGGAAATATGTAATAAAATACTTGAAAAATATACCGATGCAAAAAAAGTATAGTTTGTATCACAATATTGTTATTTATTATTTACTGTTATATTTGGTCTTTTACTTCTGTCACATAATTAAACTAAACAAATCCTTGAATTAATGTGTAAGAATGTGAGAAAAAATATTTTTGAAAAGACAATCAGGTATTAGTAACTTTGATAAATTTATTGTATTAATTACTGAGCACTTCTGAGGAGCCCCACAATAGGACGAAACGGCCACCCAGTGCTTCCAGGTTTTCAATGGTAGTCTAACATCAATCAATTCATGATCTCAATCAAAAATTTACTAATCTCCACAACCCTATACTGATTATGGAAATCAGATTTATATTAAAGATTGACACAATAAATAGTATATTAAATCTGTCACCACATAAATATGTTATGTATTCAGTGATAGCAGTTGGTGAACTTTAGGATAAATACTTTATTTCATGTCTTCAAGCACTTCAGTACATTTAATCTATGATGATATAACTGAAATTTAAACCTATCATCTTTCGGGAGAGGCGCCTAAGTGATATCCACTAGATTAAAAAATGTGTAGGTAGCTAATTACGTTTATTGACGTAAAGTATGCACATATACCAATAAGAGACTGATCAATTGGGGCCCTAAATATCAATGGGAAGATTCAAGTCAACAATACCAAGTGAATTTAAAATTCACTCCATTGCACAAGCAGATGGCTAACGTGACTCAGTAGCTAAGTGGCGTTTGAAGCGAATGGTACTGGGTTCGAGCCCCAGAGTGAACACCAACTCGAACGCAGGTACGTCCAGCTGACAAGTTCCGAATAGAACAAAATGCGCGTCCTGGATTTTACTGCTAGCCACCATCCATCTTTGCTTATAAAGTTTTGACTTAAGACAATGTTGAGGCAATACGCAGATTATGTACATATGCCAATAAGAGACTGATCAATCGCACTCCTAAATATCAATGGGAAGATTCAAGTAAACAATATCAAGTGAAATAATTTTGAAAATTTTACGGGAATTTTCATTTCTTCTAAACGTTAGTTTCATTTGCACAAAAATGGATGTTTAGTAAATGGCTCCAATTAATCACTGTAGTAAACAATATTCATAATTTGAAAATTTAAAAAAAACCCAACAACTTACATGTTCAATCCAAACTTCAAATGAAATTTTCCACCGTTTAGGTTGTTGATCATGAAGGTATGCATTGAAGAGAATTAGAAAGAAGTATCGTTCCAAATAGGCTAAACTTCTTTTACGTAGTTTTAATTTCTTTTCTGGATCATTTTCATCTCTTGCCTAACAGTAACAAATAATATCTGTTAAGTTACCAGTGGCAAATATTTTTAAGTTAGCTGTAGTACTGTAACAGTTAAATCATCCTGTTCAAAATGACAGTAGTAGTTTAATGCTTTATTATGCATGTACTTATTATAACCTTCCCTTTCAAGGTATCTCTACTGTTTGCAGGAGATCAGTTGACTTTGTGGACTTAAACGTTTCTAATAGTAATTTAAAAAGAATATTCTTACTACCAAATAATGACTTACTAGT